ATATAACTTGTACCACAGTTGTCTCATATGGACAAGAGTTCAAACCACACGTGAGCACAAACACACATTCTCTCCCCCCGCTCCCACCGGGGAGTTGCTTACCCACAGTTCCATCAGTGTGATTTAGGTAAACTGGTGCAGAAGTCTGGAGAAGATGCATTTATTGCAGTATAATCACACTTATTTCAGTTTTACCTGACACTGAAGCACAGGTTTACGTAAATGAGTAAGTTGCTCTTACACTGAATAAGAGAGTTCCTACATAGGAGTTTGCAACAGTTCTTTCAAACAGGTGCAAGAATGCTTCTAGGCAAGGCTTACATTTTCCCTCTCATGAACATATATAAATACGGAACTGTGAATTATTTATCATGATGCAGACCAGGCAAGCCTTCCACATGCATAACTGCACGCAGTGTGTGAGCAGGTCTGAGTCTTCAAATCGCAGAAGATGCTGAGCTTTTTAGAGCCTCTTAGGGGATTTCACCATCCATTTCATGTTAATTTGGAAAAAAACTCCAAAACATTTCATTTCATTTTGCTCATTGGCACAATCTGAACTGAGCAACATGTGCACACATACATATCTCTGTATCCTTTGGCATACACACCTCTATCAGTCTGACAATGTTGACATGATCCAGTTTCTTTAATATGGCTATTTCTTGGTAAACTCTATCCAGTGGTGCCATGGGTTTGGTCTGCTCACCAGAAGCTGCTTTTGACCCTCTAGGAGGAGGCCGACCTGCAGCCATAACGACAACAACAAGAATCATGCTTTACCTTATTTGGCAGCACATGGTACATTGCACCAAATGGGTCCAGTATAGAGGTGCATAAATGAATCCAGGACCTCTAGCAAGCAACTCACAAAAGGAAGCAGGGGTTGTGTGACCACACAGAAAAGTCACACACTAGCGCAGTGGTGTTCAACCTTTTCCCCCAGCAGGCTGCAGGGGCAGTACCTGGTTTGTCTGCAGGCCAATTCCAGCCCCTGATTCTGATCCAGGGAGGGTGCAGCAGGCCCCACCTGGCCATGTGGAGGCAGGCAGCAGGCTTCCCAGCCCCAACCCATCCCTGCAGGGGAAGGGGCTTGACATGGGGATGTCAAGAGGTGTGACTCAGCTTTGCATGGGGGAGGGAGGCCTGGCCTGGCCCCAACCCATCCCGGGGAAGGTGGGGAGGGATGGCTTAGCCCCAACATGGAGGAAAGGAAATGTGGCTCAGCCCCAAACTAGGCCCTGTGGGAAGGGGTGTAGCTTGGCCCAAATCCAGATGCGGGGGGGGAGGGAAGGGGGAAGGCATGGCCCAGTCCCATGGGGTTGGGGTGATAGCAGCTGTCCTATGACCAGCCACATGGGGCTTGTGTTTGGAAATTTGGCGGGGGGGGGGAGGGTGGCCATATTAATGACCACTGTTCTTCCACTGCCAAATTTCCTGACCCATGAAGAGCCCTGGGGGCCAAATGCAATGGTTCTGTGAGCTGATCAGGCATGTGGGACTGGGTGGTTGGGTATTTGTTTTATATGTGAACTCTTACGAATTCATTCTGAAATGTAATGCCAGTGAAAAGCTGAATGGATAGTCTTGGGAATCAATCACCCCTAAGATCAGGCAACAGCACTACACTAACAATATGCCTCCATCCTCATCAAGGATAGTGCGAAACAGCAAATTCCAGTTTCACCTGGGTCAACTCACTCCTTTACTTTTCCAAAGCAGATAAAATAAATTTCCATTCATTGTAACTGGTGGGGATTTTACACCTGAGACCTTACATCAAAATTCTCCCTGGCCTATAAAGATGGGATAGAGTGCACCCTCAGCAAGTCTGCAAATGAGACCGAGCTGGGAGGAGTAATAGATAAGCTGGAGGGTAGGGCTAGGATTCAGAGTGACCTCAAAAAATTGGAGGATTGGACCAAAAGAAATCTCCTAAAGTTCAATAAGAACAAGTGCAAAGTCCTGCACTTTGGACAGAACAATCCCATGCACCGGTGCAGGCTGGGGACCAACTGGCTAGGCAACAGTTCTGTAGAAAAGGACCTGGGGGTTACAGTGGACAATAAGGTGAATGTACGCCAACAGCGTGCCTGTAGCAGGACACTAGGGTGCCTGCTACTAGATAAAGGTGTGTAGCGGGACATTAAGGCACCCGCTACTGATAATAGTAGGAAATGAGTTTAGCTGTCATTCATGAGGGCAGCAGGTGCCAGTTGCTGTAGCAACTAATTGGGTCAGCTGACCGTCAGGGGGCAGGGCCTGGCCTTCATAAACAGAGAGGGCTAAGGCCAGAGGCAGTCTCCCTTGGGCAGCACAAGGAGAAGGAGCTCTGTGGGAGTAAACAGAGCCAAGGATAATAGAGAGGTTTGATGGCTGGAGAGTGGCTGTGTATAAGGCGGGGTGGAGGAAACCCTGAGAAGGATACACAGAGATAGCCAGGTTTGGCTTGGAGTTGTGTTATAACCCAGGAAAGGGAGATTTTTGGTTTCGGGTTATTGCGTTTAACTCTGGAGGACCGGGTGAGGCTGTAGGGGTGTGAGGAGGCCTCACGGGAGATCCCCAGTAGTCTGGTGGTTCCTGGGTGCCCTGTTTGGGCACAGAGCAGTGCCTAGGAGGCACGGCTGTTTGACGCCAGTAGCACTGGCGCGAGAAGCGCGGGACAAGCCCCGAGAAGGGCGAGGGCGCGAGAAGCATGGGACGAGCCCCAGAGAAGGGCGAGGGTGTGAGGAGCGCGGCGCGAGAAGCGCGAGACGGAGGGTGCAAGAAGCACTATGGGCCCAGTGGGCAAGGGCGCGAGAAGCGCGAGTAGGCCCCAGGGGGGCATAGACCCAAGAAGGC